AATTGACAGTCATTGCTAGGAGCCAACCTTTTTAGTCTAGGAGCTCTCATAATCTTCCCACCATATCTTGAGATAGGGACAATTATTACTCCCATTTTACTTAAGAGAAAATTGAGCCCAGAAAGGTTAGTAACTTTCACAGTTATGCATAACTAATGAGTGGCAGGGCCATCCAAACAACAAAAATCGTGCCTATTTTCTGTTATTATCACCAGTCATGTCAAGGTTGAAAAAAAAGTTGATGCCAAAATTTATCTTCTATAAAGGGGAAAAAGAATTACCTGGACATAATATTTCTTGAAATTCTTCTGAAAACATTTGCCTAGGAAGTGGTCTTCAATGGTTTGCTTCTTCTTACAGAAGAAAACCCAAGAAATAAGTGACTTGTAATCTAGAAGGCATTTACTGGGGGCTTATTTCAAGCAAAGCAAGACAGAATAGGGTTTTGCCTCTTTAATTGTTCACCACCTCAGCATTACCATGCTTAACTTTTTTTGTCAGTGTTCTATTTTGTTCAAAACTATATCCCAAGTCCCTCAAGAGTCCTGTGTACTCGGAAGGAAGAGTGGAAGGAAGAATAATAAACCCTAAGGTTTGGGGGACATCCCACCTCTTTGAGAGGTCCAGCATGCACATAAATAAAATAGAAGGAGGGAAAGGCAAGATGTCACGAGGAAGGGCAGTGTCTTGAGGAGGCCTTATATCCTAAAGGGAATTGTACTGTTATAATGGATATTGGAACATAATGAAAATAATGTGGCTTCACAGAAATGCAAGTAGAATCCTACCACTGGGCCCAATGAACTCTATTACCTAGTAATTCTGTAAGTTTTGTGAAGTTAATTAACTTCTCTGACCAATCTGTTTCCTCATCTCTAAAATAATATACTGTTGCTGGGGATTTAGCTCAGTGGTTTCACCGCCTGCTGCACAAGCGCAAGGACCCGAGTTCGATCCCCGGTACCTAAATAAATAAATAATATAATATAATATACTGTACCTACCTTGGAACTCTGTTAGGAGAAATATTATTTCTAAAGTATATGACCCAGATCCTAACCCATTGTAGGTACTCAACAAACACGGAATTCCCCTTGAGGCAATGTAAAGATTGGAGTATTTTTGAATCTCATTTGAATGTTCTCATGAGATTTGGACTCCAGAAAGAGTATTAGGAAATTGATTAAAAATTTTTCCAGTGGAAAAAGCATTAATTAATAGGAGTAATTAATTAACTGGGGAAAAGGAAAGAGCATGAATATTAAATGGATGTAGTAGGTTTTTGTTTTAGCCTGTTGACAAATATAATTTTCCGTACTTTTATAAAACATTTATTTCACAGTTTATATAGCTGAATTTCTGTTTATATCTTGAGCACTTTTAACTATTAACTTGTTTAACTCTGAAAAGCTGAAGACAAACATATCCCACCCAACTCACACCATTTAGATTTTTAAACCTGGATCTTATTATTCTTGCTTTGATAAAACTACCTGTACCTCAGTTTTAGTTTTCAAAATGAAACAGAGAAAGGGGAAAGCACCTTTGAACACAAGGTTTGTGATACATAAGATGACTGGCAAAATATGTTGGAAGTCAGGAATATGTTGGATTCCAAATAAGGCAAATGTGGTATAAATTACCCATAGTGAGGAATGTGAATACTATGGAATATGATGCAAAAAGTGTGCAGAAAACAGTTTGGTTACCTCACAAGCTATTCAGTAAGACAAATATAACTTATATTCAGCAAATGTGCAATTGTGACACTTGCTTTAATAATAAAGGGCCTAAGAAAGAACTACAAGAGCCTAACAAAGTGCTGCCTGTGTGTAGGGAAACTATCAGAGAACTTTGTCCAGCATATGACATGACTGAGGTGAGGGAGCTCAGAGACCCCTAGAGAACAACACAGATAAAGAGATTTCCAAGTGGCAGTGATGTGACAGAACACAGCACTAAAATTGGAATATTTATAGTTGAAGAAGGTAGTACTAGAGGAGATGTGTGTCGTCTGCAGTGCAAAACATAACATTGAAAGTGGTGATTTCAGTGCCCACAGCCATTTTATAACTGAATTTACCTACTGATTCTATGCACTTCCTTCTTCATCATTCATTCATTCAGAAAACATTTATTGGGCACCTATTAAAAAGTTTCTTGCCTGTCAGAAATTATGTTAGGAGCAGAGAGTTTCAAGGAGAATGAGATGTGGCATCTGCCCCAAGAGAGCTCCGTCTAGTAGGAAGATGGCCAACACATGCACAGATAACTGCAAGTGCCTGTGAAGAATGCAGTGAAGTAGCAAATTGACTGCACAGGGTTGGGGACTGGCTGAATCAGATGCTTGGGGGAGAGGCGGTGAGAGGGTAAAATTTCACTCTTAGGTAGTGAAGTTGTAAAGGAAAGAGTGTTGTCTCCAGACAAAGCTTTGGGGTACTCAGACGGGTGCATGGTTTTTAGTAAGTACCTGCATGGAGTATGGATCAGAGGAAGCTGAGTTCCTCTTCTAGGCTCCAGACCAGATCATTTTCTGCTCTGAGAAGTGCTAACAGGGGATACATGGTTTTTGTGCAAAGTGCTGACATTATTTCCAATGTGGTATTCCACTGCACAAATAGAGATCCTTCTGTATTTGTGAAGCTGAAAACTGGGCAGGCCTAATATCTAATGTCATGGGAATTGTTAAATAAACTAGTCTAAACACAGACTACAAGCCATTAACAAAAATGGTATTTATGTATTTGATAGAAGGAAGGAAAAATCCAAGTTACACTGTTAAAAAGGGAAAAAAGATATAGATATGGTCTCATGTTTGTACATACACAATTGGGTACATATATCCATCCCAAATACAACCACACAGATCCCTCTAGAGTAAGATTCAAGGAAAGACAGCAGACAGAAGCTGGGAGAAGGCTGAGACAAGCAGACCTTCCATTTTTTATTGTTTTTCTATATACTTCAAATTTTCACAATACTCATGGACTTCATTTTTTAATCTATAAAAGAAATGAGATACTGCTCATGCAGCATTGAGCATAGTGTCTGCCATGTGGCCAGCAATAAATGCTAATGGACTCTTTTAAGATGGCAAAAAAATATGACTTGCTCAAAATGATTTAAATCTGCATGTCAATGGTTATAAATAAGTGTTTTCTATTGCTAGTAAAATGGAATGAAATAAATTGTCTTAAGTTATGACCGACTTTAGGTTAAATATATGTTCTGCTTATTTAATCATTTAGGACTTCATTATTCAAAGCTAAGTTTTACAGGAAGCCTTCCAAATCTAGATAACGCTAGCCTTTGCTTAAGCACCAGAAATCTTTAGAGCTTATTATCCTATTATCTGTTGTTGAAAACTAATATAAAATCTTTTAGGAAAGCCTACCCTATAATAACAAAAATTCAGTAAATTGAAATTTAATCTAATTTCATGGAACTGTTTATTATAAAGAATTTGAAGCACTCTCTTAGTAGATCATCTTTTATATTAATTTAGTTATCCTTGTTTTCATGAAAAGTTGTGAATAAATTGAATTGAAAATCAAATTGTTTTTTGAAATGTACTGAGGACTTCTATTAAAATTCTTCATGGTGAGTTTCTTTGTAATTTAAAATAACTATTTATAATTTGAATTAACATTTTCAAATTTATCTGCAAATAAACAAGTTAAGCTTCTTACCTACTAGATTTTCCTAAGGCAAGACATACCTCAGCCAACACAATGATAGGAAAATTTATAGGTTGTGATCAGGAATATCAAAACTTCAAAAACTATTTCTTTTTTTTTTTTTTTTTTTTGGTACCAGGGATCAAACTTGTGTCCTTGCACTTGTAAGGCAAGTGGCAGAACCACTGAGCTAAATCCCTGACCCAAAAACTATTTCTTTTTGCAGGGTGATTTTATTAATAATATTTTAACATCTATTTGTGCTTTCTTTATTGAGTGACATGACAAAATATTTTCCTATGAGTAGCATGCTGTAATACCCACATTTTTTATTTTTTAGAACCGTACTCATTTTTTTCTGAAGTTCAAGTGTTTCTACAACATATTTTATATGATAATGTATTTTAACCTCAACCTCCTAAAAGCTGACTTAAATATATTGTGCATCTTAGAATTGATGAAGTTTGGTATGTGGATAAATCATGGGGTAAATTAAGGTGTGAACTCTAGTGGTCAACTTCTAGTAGCCCTAGGAGTGGGAGAGAACATAATTAAGCTAAATGATGTTTCTTACTCAATTCAACATCAAACACTTGATTCTCTGGTCTGTAAGGCAGACCAGAGATATTCTCCTCAATGCCCATAGTATTGGGAATTCTATGGACTTTAAAAAAAACTCTCTCGTTTAGAGATTATCTCAATTATTTTGAGATAATTGTAGATTCATATTCAGTTGCAGGAAATAATACAAGAAGATCCCAGATGCCTTTTGACTCAGTTTCCCCCAATAGTAACATTTTTCAAAACTACAGCATATCATAATTGGGATATTGATGTTAACACATCCATCAACCTTATTCAGATTTATGTCAGTTTTACTTGTACTCATTTGTGTGTACGTCTATGTATTCATTTAGTTCCTTGTAATTTTAGTACAGGTTCCTATATCCACCACGCAGCCATGGTAGAGAACATTTCCATTAGTGCAAGGATGCTGTGTGTTACCTGTTTATAACTACACCCACCTCTCTTTTTTCTTCCATTCTCCCCCATTCTTCCACCCTCACCTACCATGGACATTTTACAAGTTGGGGTTAATAACTGTATGTTTTCTAGGTAACTTTTGAAAAGTAATGGATTTCTGCTTTCCTCTTGTGCATATTTGTGAATAATAGTAAGCAAGTATACTCTTCTTGATTTGAGCATCTCACTGTTGCTTGGCAAAGGAACCAATGGCAGGGCAAGCAGCTGCCTTTGCTATGCAGCATTTCTAATTCTCTGAAGGAATAGAACCAAATCTGCCATCTTTGTTTCCATTCTCAGACTACGCTCGATTTGAGGCCAAAATCCATGACCTGCGAGAGCAGATGATGAACCACAGCATGAGTTCCGGGTCCGGGTCCCTGCGAACCAATCAGAAACGTTCCCTGTATGTCAGGTAGGCAATGGAGCTCATCTTATTCTGATCTGCACATTGTGAGCAATCCAGCTTGGGGAAACAGAGGCAGCACCTTATATGAATGGAGCATGTGTTCTAATTAGCCCACACTAATCAATATGCTACTGCAGGACTTTATGTTTATACATTTAGAAGTCCTTTCTGAAATGTTATTAAATGGCCTAAAGACTCCAGCTTATCAAGTTATTACTTATCAGTGTCATGGTGAAGAGTAAAGTTCTTAGCATAGGTTGCAGTAATAATAATGAGAAGAAATATTTGCTTTTCTGGTAAATCTTGAACACATGGACCAGAGCCTTGGGCTTGCCATTAATCTGGAAAGAAAATGTGTCTTATCAGTTCTCAATTTGCTTTATATTGACTGTATTAACTTTGATGTATTGACTTGAAATCAGAAGTATTCTTCTAAATAGACAAGAGTTTCTTTCTAAAGGTTTTGGTGGAAAGACTTTCTTTTGTGACACCTCATTACTAGTTGTTTCTCAAACCATAAAATCTCATTATTTATTACCTATCAAAGCACATTAATTTACCAGGGAAAAAATGATTGAATTCAAAATCTCTTCCAAATTTTCATTCCTGCAGTTACCTTTTGAGTGAGATCTGTAGATCTCAATTATAATGTGTGCCTCTTCCTAGCACCGGCCTCCTATATTTCCTATATATTATTTCCAGACGTTATCAGTGCTGACCAGACTGTTAAAAATGATATAGGTACTAACAACCGAAAGGGCAAAAGGGATGCCTAATAACTGGTCAGAATGAACCTATGCACCCTTTGAGTTTCTACTCCCTGCTCTGGCCCAGAGTGTGGTCTGACTCCCACTGTGCCCACTTCACCTGAAATTTCATTGTTTTCCCAGTAGTAGGTCTATGTCACAGAATTTAAACCATGTGCTTGAATTGAACTTGTTCTTGGATCCACTTGGCTGTAAAGTTATCTTTCATGTATGTTAAGTAGGCATGGGAGAGGCAAGGAACTAGCAGGATTCGGGAAGGTGGCAGGTTCATGAGCGCCTTAAGTCACCGGCTTCTCTGACAAGTAGTCCCTTCTCACTCCAGAGCATCCGGTAACCCTGAGATTGGCAAACAAACAATAAAGCAGATGGCCTTGCATTTCAGAAAATTATTTTGATACACTCCATTATAATCTGAAAGAAACTATTGAGAACCACCCTAGAATATGTTGTGTAGTAATACTGCAAACATAGTAAAAATTATCCTATTTCTGTTCTCCCTATTTGTGTTGAATTGCTAGTCTTCTTTCTTTCTTTCTTTCTTTTTTTTTGTATCGGGGAATTCAATGGGGACTTTACACTTTCGAGGCAGGTGGCGGAACCACTGAGGTAAATCCCCAGCATGAATTGGTAGTCTTAATGATACAAAATATTTTTTGATCTTGAAATATTTGAGCTTTGGGTAGCAATTAGGGAGAAGCCAATTGAGTTTGTAGGATAGAAATAAATAAGTTAATGAAATTTAAATAGTTTTACAGAATGAAACTGGAAGAAAAATTACTAATATTGGTATCTCATTAAAAAATAAAATGTATAAAAATATTAATGTACTAGAAGAAATCTGATAAAATATATTGGTAAGAGCTTTTAATTAAATTGTGGAAGATTGGGAAAATTATATGAGGGGCTATGATATTATGCAAAGTGAATACATTTATTTGACAGTAGTATTCTTTATGCTCTAAAATGGTAAACAAATGCATAGCAATTCAGAACAGATAAAGACTTGAAGTAATAAAACAATAGTTGGAAATTGAATTGAAAGGAAGAGGGCTGGGGATTTAGCTCAATGGTACCACGCCTGCCTCGAAAGTGCAAGGTCCCAAGTTCAATCCCTAGTACCAAAAAAAAAAAAGAAAGGAAGAAACTCCTTTAAGTGAAATTCAAACATACCTAGCCATTCATGGTGGCACATACCTCTAATCCTAACACTCTGAGAGGCTGAGGCAGGAGGATCACAAGTTGAATCCCAGTCTGGACATCATTTTTTTTGTTGTTGTTGTTAAATTCTTTTATTGGTACATTTTAGGTATACAACACAATTACATTTCTCATTGGGAATTGTACCTTTACATAATGCATCTTGGTTCTTATTTTTTCCCCATTCCTAGCCCTCCCTTCAACCCCTCCACCCTTCCCTATTTACAAAGACTTTATTTCCATTTTTTCCATTTCTCAGCATTTTTCCTTTCCCTTCTTTCCTTTCTCCTGCCCCTCCCACTACCCCTAGCCCTTTGGACCTTTTCTTCCTATTTTGCATTATCGATTATTCATTTTAATCATTGGTACATTTTAGGTGTACAATATAATGACATTCATCATTGGAAATTTGCACCTTTACATAGTCTCTCTTGGTTCTTATTTTTCACCCTTGCCCAGCCCTCCCTTCAACCCCTCCATTCCTCCCTATTTACAAAGATTTTGTTCCTATTTTTCCATTTTCTCATATTAATCCCATTCCCTTCTATCCTTTCCCCTAGCCCTCCCACTTCCTTCCCCTTTGCCCCTTTTCTTCCTATTTCACATTACCTATTATACATTTAGTCCTTATTTACACTTTCAGTTTCTCACACCAGAAAACTATTCGGTATTTATACCTGTGTGTCCTATTTATTTCACTTAAGAGTATCACCTCAATGTGCATCCACTTAGCTATAAATGTCTCTAATTTCTCATTTTCTATGGCTGAGTAGTACTCCATTTTATTTTTTAAAAACCACATTTTCTTTATCCAGTCTCCAGTTGATGAGCATCTGGGCTGTTTCCAAGTTTTAGCTATCACAAACTGTGCTGCTATGAACATGGGCACACATATATCGCTGTGGTATGATTCTTTAAGATACTGGCAAACAGAATGCAGAAGATCATCAAGAAGATCATACACCCTGATCAAGTGGGATTCATCCCAGGGATGCAGGGATGGTTCAATATATGCAAATAAATCAATGTAATACACTATATCAATTGAGCCAAGGACAAAAACCATATGATTATCTCCACAGATGCAGAAAAGGCATTTGACAAAATCCAACATGCATTTATGATAAAAACCCTACAAAAAATTAGAATAGATGGTCTCTACCTCAAACTGATAGAAGCCATCTATGAAAAACCAACAGCCAGTATCATACTCAATGGTCAAAAACTGAAATCCTTCCCACTAAAATCAGGAACAAGACAAGGATGTTCACTATCACCACTCTTGTTCAATATAGTTCTGGAAACATTAGCCATGGCCATTAGACAAGAGAAAGAAATAAAAGGAATAAAGATAGGTAATGAAGAAGTCAAATTGTCATTATTTGCAGATGACATGATACTCTATATAGAAGACCCCAAGAACTCCACCAAAAGTCTCTAGACTTAATAACCAAATTCAGTCAAGTAGCTGGTTACAAGGTCAACACACAAAAATCAATAGCTTTCCTCTACACCAATGACAGACTCACTGAGAGAGAAATAGGGCAAATAATTCCTTTCACAATAGCATCCAAAAAATTGAAATACCTAGGAATCATCCTAACAAAAGAAATCAAAGACCTCTTCTCTGAAAACTATGGCACTCTGAAAAGAGAGATTGAAGATGATATCAGAAAATGAACAGACATCCCCTGCTCCTGGGTAGGAAGGATTAATATAGTGAAAATGGCCATACTTCCAGCCTGGACATCTTACCAACTTGGTAGTCTCTCTCTAAAGAAAGAGGGGTGGGGAGAGGAAGAGAAAAACAGAGAGGGAGAGAGGGGGGAGAAGAAAGGGAAGGGAAGGGAGAGAGGAAGAAAGGAAAAAAGAAAGGGAGGCTGGGATATAGCTCGGTAACAAAGCCCTAGGTTCAATCCTCCCAGCTCTGGAGGAAAAAAAAGAAAAGAAAGACTACTCGACTTTTATAGGAAATGTCCCAGATGAAATCCCTGCAATATATATATGTGGTATTTGTGTTCCACATGTTCAGTTAGTAATGCTTAGTACCTAAAGGACTGATCTCAGCATCTAAACCATTGCAAGAGACAGAAGAAATGTGGGTCCCACATGTACAGTAAGATGAGAAGGAAAGAATTTAAGGGCCTCTGGCCTTGTTCTCATGCAATATGAGAAAGTAGCCGCCGCCCCCCCCCCCGGAAAAAAAACATGAAATGGACTAGGAAAGACTAAACAGAATCCTTACCATAAAGGATCCAGCAAGTTTCAACCTTTGTCTTTTTTTTAATGCCAGTTTTGACTCTAGGACTTTCATAGAGAGGCTTACCTTATCTAGAGCACTCCATAGGACCACCCCCAGTTGGTGTGTGCTTATTTTAGAAAGTCAACTACTTGTTCTCTCAAATCAATTAGTAGCAGGGTTTCTCTGACTATATAAAAATAAGATGATGAGTATGTTTCTTTAATATGAAAATGACATCCTAGAATATTAGTCCCCTCATTTTGCTTAGCTTTATGTGATCCTAGGGCTAGAAGGAACCTTAGCTATCACTGGGCCTACACTTTAATTTATAGAAAGGGAAACTGAGACCCCAGGAAAAAACAGATCTGCCCAGGATCCCATAGCTATTTGTGGCAGTCTGCTACCCTCAATCCTATACTTCCCGCATCATTCCGCCTCCCTCGGTCTTAGCTTACAGGGTTTCAGAGACTGAATGTACCTCAGCTGTGATTCCCAGTCTGCTACTGTCAGCACTGAACTAGGCTCGTGGATTAAGGAATAAGTTAACTGAGGAGGAATTGAAACACAGTCCTCTGGTGTTTTTATATAGGATATGCAATGCTATATGATATGGGCCCTCTTTGTTATTATTCATACTTTTCCATAAAGCCAAAACCTAAATAAGAAGTAAGCAGCCTTTTAGCTCTGTAATAAACCATTTAGCTTAGTATAATGTTTGCCTGCACTGCAAAACTACTCTTCCACTTGCCTCCTCTACTCTGAGCATGTGTGTGCGTGCACTCACACGCGAGCACACACAC